TTCATATAAAATTGGAAACTAGGAAAACCATCCTAGTGCAGAGAACATTTTGTTGTGCTGCTTTTGCATGAGTGTGCATGTAATGTAACAACCATTGGGAAAGTAACAAAGAAATTATTATTTTCTGTTTGTAGTGACATCTTCAGTTTATGCTGTTTTATTATGGGTTATTGTGATGTTTTTATCAGCTGTTTGTAATGATAAATTTCTTCAAATCTCTTCCGATGAAGAAACAAACTAATCTACATCTTGGGTGGTCAGAGGGTGAGTACATTTTCAGCCTATTTTCATTTGTGAGCTATTCCTTTAACTGTGGGCATAATCAGATTTATTGTTTTAAGTTAGAATATTTTTTTGTGTGTTTTCTTTTGTTGTTTTATTTGGAACCTAACAAAATACTTTTTGATACATTTTGTTTACTTGTGCTATTTCTTTTTTATAAATACCACTGACATTTTAAGTGACATTAAGGTGACATCAGATATAAGGAAACATTATAAACTACTATTTAAAAAATATTATCAGCAATATGAATGATTGCAGGTGTGTATAAACATTCTTTGTAACTGACTACCTTGAAATAGTTTTTACAAAATGACTTCAGCCAAATGCAGACACAGACTTTCATATAAAATTGGAAACTAGGAAAACCATCCTAGTGCAGAGAACATTTTGTTGTGCTGCTTTTGCATGAGTGTGCATGTAATGTAACAACCATTGGGAAAGTAACAAAGAAATGATTATTTTCTGTTTGTAGTGACATCTTCAGTTTATGCTCTTTTATTATAGGAGATACCCTGAAAATGCAGAGGAAAGAGAGTTAAAAAAGGAAACAAAAGAAATTAAACCAAGCACTGAAAGGACAGAAAATGACCAGCTAATCAAGACTGGAGCAAAGGAGGTGAACATTAACATCTTGGACACATTTGACTAAATCTGTTGTTGTGCTTTAAATAGAAACATTTTGATCTAAAGAGTCATGCTTAAATGCAGAACTTAAACTTTTTTAAATGGGTGAGTTGAAGGGAAAGGTAGCCAAGTGTCAGGTATATTTGATATCTCTGTCTGTAAAAATCATATAAGAGAAAATATGTGTGTGCAGAACCAGCACAGTTCTTTACCGGATTGTGAAGGTGTTGGTGGGGATCCAGTTTGTGAAACTAAAGGTTCGGAAGAGAATAGTCAGCTGGACAAAACCCCTCTGAACCCTTATCAACCAGACCAAATTGTGGGTAAGTCCATCACACACTTGCTTGTATTAGGAACTCCGTCTGGGGGAACTAAATTAGCTCCTACTTCAAAGTAGGGTCTATATTGGCTGTAATTATTTGAGTATTCAAAATTTTGCTTTACATACATTTAACACAAAAATTAGTGGTGATTTTTTTTTTTAGATGTTGTGCTTCATAAACAACAAACATGACCAAACAATTTGATGTTGTATTGCCTTTAATGTCTATTTCTTCAGTTTCTAAAACTATCTTACCTTATTTCAGGTGTGAACTACGTCATCCCAGTGACTGGTTTCTTTTGCAAGCTGTGTAACATATTCTACACTGATGAGAAGAGAGCAAAATCAGAGCACTGCCGCAGCCTTGAACACTACAACAACCTCAAGGTGACTGCAGTAGAGTTAGAAGAGTGATAATAAAATGTTATATTCATAATTAGGGCTGGGCAAAAAAAATGGATTTTCCGATTAATCGTTTTTTTAAATGACGTCGATTCGATATTGATTCTCAAAGGCCGCAAATCGATCTTTTCCAGTATTTATTTCAGCACACATTTAAAACAAGATCTGATTAACGTGAATCTTATCATTAGTCTTCTCCACTAGATGTCACCCTTATTTACCTTGCGCGATGTTACAACAGAATACCCAGCCCTATTCATAATGTGACACCTGTTACCACATAACAGTTGAATTGTATGGTAAAGTTAACATGAATATATATAAAAGTAAAATAGGTTGTGAGTAGAGCTGGGTAGTAACTGGTTACATGTAATCTGGATTACGTAATCAGATTACAAAAATTAAGTACTTGTAATTAGAGTAAATTACATTTTAAAATACTCACAATCAGACTACAGTTACTTTTTTATAGATTAGATGATTTCTTACTATTCACACAATAGCAATAAATTATTCATAATTTATTCATTCTCCCTAATTCCTCTCTTTCATCTTTGAAATTTTCCTTTCTAAAATAGCCTGCCGCTTATATAAACGCAGAAAGTCCAGTTTTGTGGACATTCACACAGAGATCAGTCATTAGTCAGGTGGCTACATGGCATTTGACCATTTGATTTACAAAAATCATTTCAGGTTTTAGAAGTGTTTCAACATTGCATCAACTACTGATGAACATTCATTTTTATTTGAATTATCACTCTGTAGGTTATTTAACCATGTGTTATGTATTATTGAAAGGCTTTTGTCTTCCAAACTCATTATTTACATGTAATGCAGACATTACCAAACTTTTTGTCATCTGAACCTCTTTCACCTAATGTATTGCCTTTAAAGGGGTGGTCAACCAGCTATTTTGCTATAGTGTTTATGGGGGGCACTGTAACACGTGTTTATGTTTCGTTTAAAAAAAAAATTGCATTACTTTTCATATATTTTACCGCTGTTTCCGTTCTCCTAAAAACGGTCTGTTGACTTCCTGGTTCGATGAAGCCACTTCCTCAGAAATACGCAGTGGGCTCAGATTGGTTAGGCCCAGGGTTTTAGGGTTTATTCCACAAACCAAGGAAGAAACTTGTTGTAGTCCCTACCAGCCGTTTGTTGTAGGTCTTAAAAAGCAAATTCTGTAAAAGAAAATATCTCCCTTAGCATTGAACTTTGCAAATGTTGTTTATGCTCAAATAGAAACATTACACATTAACTAAAATTAAAAAAGTGACCCCTTTAAAGATCCCTTTAAGTACCCCTGAGATTTTAAAATAAATATTTTAATAATTAAGTATCACATTTGCGTGTTCACACAGTTCTCTGACATTGGTTAATGGTCAAATGGCATGCAGGTAAACATAAAATATTTCATTTTTTAGTAAGTGTTTTAATTTGATTATTTTAAAATTATTTATTTTTAGCTTTTCATTAAACTCACAAACCCCCTGCAGTTCCTTTACGAACCCCAGTTTGAGAAACCTTGATGTAATATAATGTTTAAAACACTTCATGTTGTTAATTTAAATAAATGGAATATATTTTCTTACTGTTTGTTTTTTTTTTACATCATGATGGTACAAGATTATCCTATTTAAATCAATGTGATAAACGAGTTAGGAAATTAATCAAAAAGTAGTCTGATTATATTACCTAAAATGTGTAATGTAATGGATTACGTTACTGACTATAATTTTTGTCATGTAATTTGGATTTGCTAACGGATTATAATTTGTATGTAATCTACTCTTGAGTCAGTGGGGGGGAAAAAAATTTGCAAAAAAATTTCTTTCTCAAAAGTCTTTACGGATACAAGTATCAACAATACCTTACAGCCCAGCATAAAAGCACTCAATATGGCACAGTCAAGAATAACTTGATAAGGAGAATAACGTTGCCTCTGACTCTTGCTGTTGATTTGAATGGTGATGTTTTTCATTTTAAGTGTCTGCTGATGGACTTTTAATTTTTAATCAGAAATGTACATGCTGCTTTTCTGATGTTCATTGATTTTTTTCAGACTACGGTTTCAGCTAAATACCTCCTTTACTCTTCTACTAAAGAAAAAAAGGTCACCTACATCTTGCATAGTCTGAGGACGAGTTCATTTTTGGATGAACTATCCTTTTAATAGTGCTTTTTTAAAAATTCTGTTAAGGAATATGTAGGACAAAATTATGACTAGTACAGATCAGTGCCATGTGGTATGCCATCGATGAAACTCTGCATGGCACAAGCTGGCATCTAATCACCCAGCCAATGAAATGACAGCTTCCTATGCCTCTTGTCCTGGTTGTGTGGATGAACTTACATATTGTTTTGATTTTCAGCTTAAACATGCTGAAGTGGTGGAAGAGGCAGATGGACACCCAGACGGCTGAGTAAAAGAACACAAAGAAGACAACGACATTGTACTTTTGAGCCATTGTTTTTTATTTGTTTTCATTCCAGTTAGTTTCCATATTCTTTCTGTTCAATTGTTACAAGAGTGAGTGTATGTGTGAGGCAGATTTTGTGGACAAAATTGTGTAGCCATTGTGATGGTTTGGATGTTTAACAGTAAGCAGAACGAACATGTATATCAGCTGAAGGAGAATGTTACGCTAAGCTCTTGAAATAAACTCACGTTTGTTTACTGTCACCTGTATGCATAGTATGAAAGCTTCTCCATTCTACCTTGATAAGAGCAGGTTACCATTAGTTATGCAAGCCACTTCAGTGTTCATGACCGGTAATGAAATACACTGTGTGTGAGAGTGCAGGTTTACTTTGACATAACACTGAAATCTAAAATGCTTAAACCTCGCAGTATTCAATTATTTGTAAAGAAATTGGCCCCGAAACTATATGAATGAGTACAAATATCTGTTAGTTCAGCAGACATTACAAATGTATCTTACCACAAACCAATACACTATACCTTGCAGCTTGTGTCTGTGAAGGTCAGAATTAAATAAACGTCCAATGATTTGTACAAGTAGAGGCACATTTGTGAATACAGTGGTTCACTTTTGTGTAAATATATCAACCAATATTCCAATTTGAACACAAAATGGTCTGGTGAAGAGTTTACCTTCCAAAAACACAAACAACTACCAGTGAATAGTAAGATATATTTGCAACAATTATCGAAATGATAGACATTTGTGCACACAATAAAAAATTGAGACTAATATCTAGTCCTCTCTTTACAATAGTCAAACAATGCTGAAAAAAAAAAAGTATCTACATTCCAATACATTTAAACTAAACTAAGACATTTAGTAAATAGAAAAAAAAAAATTTTAATGGTTAATTAAATTTTTCTAATAAATAAATGGATTTAAAATCAAACCACAAAAATAAAAACAAGAAACACAGAACTAAACAGCCAAATATTTCAGTCATGACAATTGGAAAGTATTTTGATTGTCAAAGGTATAGATACAAAGTGAAACTTCACAATAAATATAATAATCTGCAATACAGTCTTAGCATCAGAAACACATTTACTTTACATGCATGTTAATGCATAAAATTAACGAAAGTTGAAAATAGCTGCATTTAAAATGACTTTTAATAAATACCACATTCTTTTGTATCAGTTTTACTTGATTCGGACTCTTAAGCAAACGGTTCTTTTCATATCACTGGAATGTATAGCATCATTTCTTTGCAGTGACATCAGAAATGTCTGCACAACAATGACATTTTTTGAAGATATAGAATGACTTGAGTCGATTAGTTTGGCGCATTCTGCTAGCAGGAACAGGAACCTTTATAGTTAGTATACATCAACAATAATGTACATTTGGTAGCAACTGAGCACAGTATCACTTTAATCAAATACATTTATATTTTAAGCACTGTTTATTTTGTATATCTTGACACACTGATTGGTTACATATGGCTTTAAGTAAAAATAGACTTCTTCAGAATGTTCCTATTGCACAGCATGCACAACTCATTCAGCACAGTTGGTAGAGTATGGGCTTGCAACGCCGATATTGTGGGTTTAATTTCACAGGACACAATTCCTTAAATGGACATTTATGTTGCTTCGGGTAAAAGCATGAGCCAAATGCGTAATTATAAATGGACGTTAGATGTTCAAGTGCCAGATTGTCAGCATTCTTAAAGGGCTACATGTTTACAGAGATGTTTACAGAGAGCCTTTTGATACTATATTCAATTTAAATTTTTTTTGTTTTTTTTTGCACATTTTGGCCTTGATCTGGAGCTTGCCTGACAATAACAGCCAGCACTGGTGCATTGTGGGTGAAGGGACAACACTAATGTGTGTAATTGAAAGACTAGTGTAAGCAGCATCAGTCCACGGTTTATCTATATACATACACACACGTACACATTCCTCCTACAACTGGAGCTCTAGATTTGGCTTTTGGCTCCAGTACAGATTTTAAATATCAAACTGTATGGTGTTTAGGGATTGCTCTGATGTCCATTGTGCCGAGGAGAGTCATGCCGCATGATTTGCCGTGGGGTGCCGTACCCTACCATGCCAGATTGAGATGCTCCACGATTGCTTCCCATTTGCATGCCGATAAGACCGCGACCTTGACGCAGCTGCTCCTCAGAAAACTCCCTCTTGTGGATCTTGGCTTTCCTAAAACATTATAAAAACATTAACATGCAGGAAGTGTGTGCTTAGAGGTTGCATGAGATGGAGCAGCTGTATTTGATTTAGTCCCGTAGATCCAGACTTCTGACTGTTGGCATAAAGTCTGGTCCAAGTTGCAGACAACAGCAAAGAAATTTGGGTTGATTTTCTCTTGGTCTTTCTTTTGAAAAATAACAGATTGTTTTACCACTGATAACACGACAGAATGTATTTCAAAGATCCAAAGCCACTAATTCTCTACATACATGCTCATTGGCCTTTTGTAATGTTGCGATTGTGACACTTGCACAACAAGACCAGTGAGACACTCTACTATCTTGTGCTCTATGCGAACACATGCCAGTCCACATAAAGTACAGAAGTTGTGTTGAAACACTGAATTTCAAGTATAAATTAAAACTGTGCTTTTTTTCTTATTTTCCGCCACTGATTTTGGTCTTTAAGTTAGTTTAAGCCAATGCAGTGCCACTGGTTGTCTTTGCAGTCTAAAGAAATCTGATGATCTTTGCTGCAAAAGCCCAGATAGTTTGCTGACTGGGGGTCTCAGTCATAGTGCTAACGGGTGACACCCTTCTTTGTCCAGCTCACCTATGAAACCAGTCTTTGTCTCCACAGTAATGTCCATCATCCTTTGTCAGAGCTTCACTTCCCAGAGCCATCAGTGTCCTCTGGACTGCAGCCATGTCCTTTCCTTTAAAGCAGAGCGAAAAGCCGCATGAACATGATACCTGTGACACAGTGCTTGCCGAAGGCATCTTGTACAGTCCTATATACACCAACACCATGTTAATGACAATAGTTAAATCAGGAGTTCTCAACTCTGACTCTCGAGGTCCACTTTCCTGCAGACTTTAGCTCCAACCCTAATCAACCTAATGAGGATTTTTGACATGAAAATAGATCATGAATTTAAAATTTACATCTCATTCAGTCAAAATGATGGATAAGGATTATTTGTAATGCAACCTTATGATTTGAAATTATAGACCTATATTACTAGAGTAATATATTTGACTAAAGGCAACGCATATCTGTCCTATGCGTGTTGTCAGAGATAATGAAAATGACCGGACTGAATAAAGTAGAAACAACATTTTGCATGATCTTCAGTCGGGTTTTAGACTTCATGTATGTTATAACTGTTAGGATAAGAAAGATGACTGATAGTGGTAAATTATACAGAATGGTTATGTTAGATCTCAGAAGGCCTTTGATACTATAGATCATTCCATTTTACTGTATAAATTAAAGGCAATAGGTTGCAATGAAGAGGCTATTAGGTGGGTACAATCTTATCTTGAAAATAGAAGTCAGAGAGTATATGTTAAAGGTATATTGTCTCGCTTGTTACCAATTACTTGTGGTGTTCCTCAAGGAAGCGTTTTAAGTCCTTTATTTTTTCTAATATAAATGATCTTAAATTAACATATTTGGTGGAACTCTTCATTCAGATGATGCAGCAATTTTAGCGTCTCATCAAAGCAAAAGGGTCCTTGAGGATAGAAAGTCTTGTCAGTTACAAGAGGTGTCCACTTGGTTTTTGGGTAATAAACTTCCCTTGCATTTAGGTAAGTTTCAGTCCATTCTGTTTGCCTTAAGAGGGAGACTGCATAAAAATGCTGATTTATGATGAATTTTGATGATAAGGTTATAGAATCAGAGAATGTTGTTAATTATTTAGGGTGTCTTCTTGATAATAATTTAACAGGTGAATTTATAGGTAGAAATGCTCTTAATAAAATATGCGGTAGAATTTAATTGGATTTACTAGATGTTCATACCTAAAGTTGTTGTCAGGTGCATTGATACAACCGCATTTCAATTATGCAGCCTTTTTTGGTACAGTAGTTGTTCACAGAGTATGAAAGATAAATTGCAGAAGGCTCAAAATAAATTAGTAATTTGAGTAATTTTTTGTAAGTGTTCTTTTGGTAATTTTTTGAAGGTATAGTATGTGATGGTTGTGTTATTTTAAAATTAGTATAGGATAGGGATATTGTGATAACATTGAAGACCTTATTCTGTTTATTTTATCCTCAACAGTTTTTAAATTGTATGGGATATTTGTGTGTTTCTTGTATAGTTTTGTAAACTTGCCAAATAAGTAAAAATCTAAATAAAATCATACTTTAGGTAATGCACTTACTTCTGGGGGCCAAAATGTCTTCACTATTTCAAAATGAATTAATGAAGTGAAACCTGTTATAAAAGACCTGTTATGAAACAGTTATAAAAATGATGTTCATCTTTAAATCTACTGATGTACACAGTTTGGGTGCTAGTTTAGATATAGTGGCAGGGAAGATGCACTTGTGTGTGTGTGTGTGTGTGTGTTACCTTCCCAAAGATCAACAGTTTGGAATATGTCTCCTCTGTTGACACCATAATCTTCAGCAGCCTGCAGGAACTGAGAAATCTTTTCCATTTGCTTAAAGACCATACTAGTTTCTGTAATTTTCTTAACTGGTTCCTCACCACTGGGGTACAGACTGTTGATGAGCCGGCAGAGAATCTGGGAAGGGGTTAAGAGACAGGAAGAGCGAAGAGGGAAAGGAGAAATATATTTCATTTAAGTTCTGCCAGATAAGAGACAGAAAGGTGTCTGTGTCTTATACTTATAGGTGTCCTGTAAAATCGCTCCATCTCAGTTTTTGCATATTATGGGTCTTAAATAGCCGGAGCAAGATTACAATTAATGCTTCACAAATCATAGTAGTGTTTTTCAAGCATGTTTGGATGGTGCACTATTTCCAGTGCATCTGTGAAGTGTGTATCCATGCATAATTGTTCAGCTAATACTACCCAAAATGTTTTTCAAAAACACAAAAGTGGAGCCATTGAAAGCCGTTCGGAAGAATAGCAGAATTGTGTGCGTACATAGAAAAACAGGCCATGATTAAGAGCACAGTATCATAATACAGTCGGGGATGATGCAATAATATGGTCGCGTGTGAATTGCTGCGATCTTTACATTCCTCAAATGCTGATCTTTAGTGATAGGCTATTTATAAAGCAATTTTGATAAATACAACAAAGGTGTAAATGCACAATTCTTTATTGTTAAATAACTGCAAATATACGGTGTGTCATAGCCTACATACAACTGAACATATAAATAGGAAGTTGGCAAATGAAACATAATAGGATAAACTTTTTCAGCATCAAGAAAACAGACTATATGTAAAAAGGAAAGGAATGCGTATTTTAGTTGCTGACATCAATTTCTATTCGTTTTTTATTTTATTTGTAATAACCTTTTAGATTTTTTTTTATTTTTTTACAGTTAACTGTCAGTCAATACGAAATAGTTTAAAATAAGTTGCTATGATTGACATGTCGTGTCATCTATGGAAGGCTGTAAGTGCCACTTAAAAATGAAACCAACAAAAAATAAAAATGTAAATAAATAAATGTTCAAATAGCCTATAAGAAACATAGATTTATTTAGTTTGTTTGATTTGTAGTAAAAATGAAAAAGTAACAATAAAATGAGTTGAAAAATAATTTTAAAGAAACTTCGTATTAAGACTTTTTTTGACAAAGCATTTGCCAAACACTTTTCTTTATCGGATACATATTTAATAATTACATGAGAATGCAACAATAGGGAGGTGTGTGCTATCAAGAAGACAATTTCATGGCAAGACAGTGTCCTAATACGTTTGCGCTGTCTTTTTACATATTCAAAAATGTGTTCTTTCCCATCATCAGCAAAGTTAACGCTTTTAGCGCACAGTAATTGAGATGCAGCATATTAATTGACAATATGGTACAAAATGCCCTGAATACTTGAATAATATTAGGCTACTTAAGTATATTTTACAAGAAAATACTATTTTGGCTTTTCTACTTCAGATTTTTTTCTGTGAATTGCTGTATTTAATTGTAAAATACTAGTAATTTCTAAGTGAAAATTGTTTCTAACTTTTTCCCACATTCACACATCCAGAATGCCTTTTCATTGTACGGTGTCATAATCATCATGTCACATGATTATTTTATTATTCCGCAATGTGATTATCATTCCAGATTATGATTCCAGCTCTCAGATGTGTAAGATACAGGAAAACGTTTACCAAAGGTTCCCCATGTTAAAAATTAGTTGCTGACATTAATATAACAATTTTAAATGACCTCTTAAACACCTCCCTTCCTCCCTCATTTTCCATATTCAGCACCTACTGTTCCACTCATGAGCCATTTCTGGAAGTTCTGTTTGCCAGGTTCAGGTCGCTCCAGGTCGTCACCACACTGGGCCACGATCCATCCCACAAGCCGAGCCTCCAACTCCGCAGCATACTTCTGTTCAATCTTGTCTTGGACCTCACGGCTGAGCCCATAGCTTGGTCCCCTGTTTGCCATGGCGGCACTCAGACATTAACACCAACCTACACTGGTAAAAAAAAAACTCTACCCCTATAGGGTGGAAACACACACAACATGTCTTATATTTCTTATTTTAAACTACTATATGCCTACTAAAACAGATTGGCTACAGCAGCTTACGCTGTGACTAACCATACTGACAGGAGAGTTCATCAAAATATCCAATGCTTTTTTCCTGTTTCTGTTTCTCTAACTAGAACTTAATATTGCATTGTAAGCGATTGATACATTTAATTTGTTTATCCATTCAAAAACTGACGGGCTATTTGTCCTCCACTGGGTGATATGCAACAAACGAGTCCCTCCTAGACATGCAAGAGCAATACCATGATATTGACGCTGTTAAATAGACTCCAATGACCAGCGTTTCCATTTGATCACAACAGCAAACTGACATAAATGCCAACTTGTGTCCCACGGACTCTAATTCAAAATGACAACAAGCAACTACATCGCTAACCGATTGTTTAATATGCCCTAATTTATCCACAATGCAGTGAGGTATTATGCATCAACTCACTAGTGATGGAGGCTTTAATTTTAAAGAAACTTCGTTTTAAGACTTTTTTTTGACAAAGCATTTGCCAAACACTTTTCTTTATCGGATACATATTTAATAATTAATACATTGATAATGGATTCCTTCATTTTATTTTTAAGTGCTCTACTAGTCTGTATAAGCATTTTATACTATGCTGAAATATTTTAGATGCAAAGTCGGCAACACCAAAGCTCCAAAAGTATCAAAAAATTTATTTTTTAAAAAGACTGTCGCATAGCATATGTGACGTTTCGAGCATGCAGGCTCTTCATCAGACAAATGAACAACACTGATATTGCAAACTTTATAAGCCTACCTCCAGGTGATCAAAGGTCACATGACCATACAATATTATCGTGATAATAATAATACCAAAACAATAACATATCAACCAAGGAGAAAAACATAGAAACCAAAAATAAAAATAAATCAAAAACATATATAAAGCTATGCAAAATACACAAATGTAATTCTCAAAATATTGTTTAATGACATTAATTGATGCCTGCCTGGGTCATTGGACTCCGGAGCCACGCTGTACTTTTGGAGCTTTGGTGTTGCCGACTTTGCATCTAAAATATTTCTACTTGTTTTTTGGTCGAGCACCCAGTTGAGAGCGATGTGCGTGCTTTTGCCTGCTCTTCACTATACTATGCTGAAAAGCATTGCTGCAAACTAACTGCAATCTCTGAGAGAACTCGGCAGCTAAAAATTGGCTGCTGCTCTGCTCACAACCCTGAGATCAGCAAAGCTGCCTCAGCCGTCACCATTGACTTAATCAGTCAATCGTTTTAGTCCATATCAATCACTGTTGGCCTGTGTGTGCATCCAGCTGTGCTCTTACATCCCTCAGCATGTCCATGTAGAGCCTATTGGTCTCACTATGGAGAGAAAGAAGACATTTCATTCCTTTGAATTGCTCTCAATATCATAATTTAAACTATTTAGGATACTCACTCAGCCAGAGAACGGTCAAACACCAGGTTTCCCATGTCCATGTAATACTGAGCATTTGTTCTCAAATCAGTCCAGTATTCATTTGCCTGCCACATAGACAACATGACGCTGTGAACTAATTACTTACTTAGCCTAATGTCATTAGCAACAGGTGAATTTATTCATTCGTTTTATGTGTTGCACTATATTTTAATTTGTTTTCCATTCATTTTACTATAGGCTATTAAAAATGTAAGACTGATTATGTCTTGAAGGAATAATTCACTCAAAAATGAAAATGTACTCACCCTCAAGACATCCAAGATGTAGATGAGTTTGTTACTTCATGAGAAGAGTTTTGGAGAAATTTAGCATCACATCACTTGCTCACCAATGGATCCTCTGCAGTGAATGGGTGCCGTCAGAATGAGAGTCCAAACAGCTGATAAAAACATCACACAAGTAATCCACACAACTCCAGTCCACCAATTAATGTCTTGCAACACGAAATGCTGTTTGTGAGAAATAAATGCATTATTAAGACATTTTACAAACCAATCAAATTGGCTAAAATACAAGTCCTTCATGCATAACATTGCTTTCTCCGTCTAAAAAGTTGTCTTATCTGAATTAGGAGAGACATTTGCACAGATAAAGCACTGCTTACAAGCGAAACCAATCCAAAAACAGTTCTATACAAACATGTTGTTGGATTTTGATGTAAGAGAACAACAGGGGATGGATTGTTTTCACTGGAGGAATTTATTATGGATTATGGACTCATATTTTGTCCAGAAGGGATGGTTTAAAGATAAAACGCATGAACAATGGATGTTTCTCCTACCAACACATCGCTTTTTAACTTCACAAGATGTTAACTGATTCGACTGGAGTCGTGAGGATTACTTGTGGATTTTTGTTCTGTTTTTATCAGCTGTTTGGACTCTCATTCTGACGGCACCCATTCACATTGCTGAGCAAGTGAGGTAATGCTACATTTCTCCTAATGAACAAACGAACACATCTACATCTTGAATGGCCTGAGGGTGAGTGAATTTTCAACACATTTTCATTTTATTGATGAACTGTTTCTTTAAGTAGGCTAATTAAAGAACAACTGTATAATCAACATCTTAATTCAAACATCCAGGATTAGTCTAAATCCAGAAAATGATATTTCATGTTTAGAACCTCTAAAGAGAACAAATAGAACCTTTTTACCAGGCTACAGAAAAACCTTGAGGGTTCTTTTAATTAATGCAAATAGTGCTATAGCTTTTAGAGATTTCAAATATGATTTTAGGTCCATTTCACTCATACACATCATACAGTCACTATAATCAGCTGATCAATGCAAGTAGCTTTTACCAAACACATTCAGTCTGAGGCTAGTGTTGCTATTGTTCACCTGCTCCTGTAAGGTGTAACCCCATTGGTTCTGGGCATAATTGGGGTCCCAGTAGCCAGACTGCCTCTTTAGACGTAAAAATTTCTTGGCCTGCTCCCCCTTCACAAATGGAGCGGCGAACGCACCTATGAGAAAACTTGATTATTAATTCGTTAACAAAATGAGTCAAATGCAATTCTCATTTACATGCACACAATGATGAGTTCTTTCAAAAGTTCTTTGCTGTATTCAGGCAAAATTAAATTGCATTGATTTACTCACCACTTATGAGAGTCGTCAGAATCACTATATGCTTCATGCTTTTCATTTTTGCACAAGCAAGGAAAATGCCTCTGTGGTCTCTACATAAATAAAATCCATATACATTATCAATACACATTTTAAAATGGTGATCTACTCTGTATGCAGGGTTTCTGCAGGATTTTTAAGCTTAAATGTAAGACTTTTTAAGACCTTTTTTAAGACCTGCACAAATAAAATTAATACCATATGAGCGGGGTAGGGCAATGTCCCATATTAAACTGTAAAATGATTACTGTAAAAAGCATAATTTAAAGTTCAGATACAAGTTTTCACAAAAACAAAGTTTTATAAAATGAT